CTTCCTTCCTTCCTTCCTTCCTTCCTTCCTTCCTTCCTTCCTTCCTTTCCTTTCTTCCCTTCTTCCCTTTCTTCCTTCCTTTCTTCCCTTCCTTCCTTCCTTTTCTTTCTTTCCTTTCTTCCCTTCTTTCTTTCCTTCCTTCCTTCCTTTCTTTCTTTCTTCCCTTCTTCCCTTTTTTCCTTCTTTCCTTCCTTTCTTCCTTCCTTCCTTTCTTCCCTTCCTTCCTTCCTTCCTTCCTTCCTTTTCTTTCTTTCTTTCCCTTCTTCCCTTCCTTCCTTCCTTCCTTCCTTTCCACCTCCTCCTCCTCCTCCTCCCTGCAAACCCCATTCCCTGACAGCACTGATGACACTACCTAGTTGGGTCATGAAATGTCTGCAAGAAAGACACCAAACTCAGGGAACACCAAGAACACCACCGTTATCAGTCTGTCCCTCCCTCCCTCCCCTCCCCCTCCTCCCTCCAACCCTGCCAGCACTGATGACGCTACCTAGTTGGGTCATGCAACGTCTGCAAGAAAACCACCCAGCTCAATCCTGAGCTACAAACCCTCCCCTTTGTCGAAGCCCCCCCTTCTCCTGGGAAGAAGCTTCAGGACCGGCAGGATGGGAGAGAGTTCCAGTCCTGCTGAAGCCGCTTCCTTCCAGACAGGAGGCGATGACGTCCCCGGGGAGCCAGCCGAAGCTCCGAACGGCCTGGGCGCTGGCAGGCAGAGGCCACCCCTGAAGTTCTCTAAGGATGAACTTGGACCAACCCAGCCCTAGACCCCCCGCCCCATTTCGCTCCCTTGCCGCCCCCCCCTCTCACGCACACCCCACCCATGTGGCAGCTGTCCTCCTGGGGGGGAAGTGACCCGCGAATCCCTCCCCGGCCTCCCCCGTGGCTGACCGTGGCTGAAGATGGTATCCCAGGCCTTCAGGTGCTGCTGCCACAGCCTGTTGTTCACCCAGCGCATCACGCCCGGCGGGAGGAAGAGCAGAGGCAGCGTGGTCTGCAGCATGGTCTCCACGGCGCTGATGAACTCCTGCGACTCGGGCTTGGGGCTCTCCTCCAGAAGGCCCAGGCGCTCCCCATACAAGGCGTAGCTGCTGGCTGTTGGGCGGAGGGTCACAAGGGGGGCGGGGGGGGAGGAGGAGGTCAAGCAGCGGGTCCCAGCCGGGGACAGAAGGACAATCAAAGCAGAGACGAGGAAAGTCCTCCACTCAGGCAAGAAAAAACCCAAAGGAGACCTATAATAGACTGGGGTGAAACTGGGCTCAATAGCAGCAACTGTGAGGAAGATCTCGGAGTCTTAGTGGACAACCAACTAAACAGGAGCCGATGTTGTGCAGCAGCAGCCAACAAAGCCAATGCGATCCTAAGTTGCGTTAACAGAGGGATACAATCGAGATCAAGGGAGGCGCTAAGACCACTCTATAAAGCAGGGGTGAGCAAACTTTTTGGCCCCAGGGGGGGCCTCACTGACTTTTAAAATTTGACAGACGGGCCGCCACCTGGGGTCGAAATGCCTGTCATTACAAGTCAAGATCAAATGAACGCAATCATTCAATCATTCACATCAAACCTGAATTCTGTACCAATCTTCGGCGGGCCGGATTAAAAAGACCAACGGGCCGGATGTGGCCCCCGGGCCGTAGTTTTCCCACCCCTGCTATAAAGCCTTAGTAAGGCCACACCTAGAGTACTGCATCTAGTTTTGGTCACCACACTATAAAAAGAGATGTGGAGACTCTAGAAAAAGTGCAGAGAAGAGCAACCAGACTGGAGACTAAAACATACGATGAATGGTTGCAGGAACTGGGCCTGGCTAGTCTAGGGAAGAGAAGGACCAGGGGAGGCAGGAGAGCAGCCTTCCAATATTTGAGGGGCTGCCCCAGAGAGGCTTTAGAAAACAGCTTGACCCCTTCCTCCTCCTCTATGTGGCAGCCCCTCCTCAAATACTGGAAGGCTGCTCTCCTGTCTCCCCTGGTCCTTCTCTTTCCTAGACTAGCTAAGCCCAGTTCCTGCACCCGTTCATTGTAGGTTTTATCGTAGTCATCCTGGTTGCTCTTCTCTGCACTCTTTCCGGAGTCTCAACCTCTTTTTTTATAGCGTGGTGACCAAAACTGGATGCAGGACTCTAGGTGTGGCCTTACTCAGGTTTTACAGAGTGGTCTTAGTACCACTTGTGACTGCCTGCTTCTCTTCCAGTTGTGGACCCGTCCCCTGCTGGAGGGGCCGGGGGTCCTTCTCCTGTCCCCTTCCAAGCAACGCATAGCCTGCCTGAGGAAGGGGGCCATCGAGGCATTGAGAGAAAGAAGACCTACTAGACCAGGGGTCTCCTACCTTGGGAACTTTAAGCCTGTCGGACTTCAACTCCCAGAATTCCCCAGCCTGGCTGGGGAATTCTGGAAGTTGAAGTCCGCCAGGCTTAAAGTTCCCAAGGTGGGAGACCCCTGTACTAGACAAAAGAGATGCCCCCTCCCCCAATGTACAGAGTGTCAGCCTTGGAAGTCATATTTTACTTGGAAGCTTCAAGGCTGCCACGTTTAGCGCCTGGGAATTTGGGAGGGGGCATTTCATAGAGAGATAAAAGATCAGACTCAACAACATTCTTCTATAAAGTCAAGGACAAGTGACCCTGCACCTGGAGAGGACTGTCTGGAGGAATTGTCAGAGTATATTCATGAACTGGAATAGAGGATGGGAACAAGGTCAGCCCGTGAATGGGTATAGCAACTATGTCAGCCAAGGAGGGCTGGTTGGAGACTGAAACTAGAAGTAGCCTAGGCGTGGCTCTGTATTAAGCTCTGAAGCTATGTTGAGCTCTGAGTCTGTCTGTTGAAAATGAAACTGCGTCTCTGCTCTGCTGCCTGTCTTGCTTGCCTGCTGAAGTTGAGTTGCTCGTAACATGTCTGCTTCTGTTTGACTTTGCTCCATGTTGAAGAAATCTACAACTGGTATTGTAAAAAGGTACTTTATGTGTTTGTAAAGAAGTTAAATGAAGCCTCAGCCCTCTGTGTTGACTTTTCTGGCGCAATTTATGCTGCGAAACTATGAACGGGGATGTCTTCAGTTGGGGCGACGTTTGATTGGGCCATCGGGCGGACTGGCGGGTGTAGGGGAGGGATTTTGGGATTTCTCTCGGGGAAGGGAAAACCCGGAAGTCTCAGAGGCAGGTTCCCCCCGGTGTGCCAACATGACTTTTTCTTTAACAAACTTGGGGCTGAATGAGGATGGGGAGTTTGGTTGGAATGCTGACTGGAAGGTGGGGGTGGAGTGGGGAGCAGGGGTGGGATTCTACCGGGTCGGGCCAGTTCTATAGAACCGGTTGTTATGCTTCTGTGCAGTTTGGAGAACCAGCAAATTGCCCCACTGGCTGGGCCCTCCCTGCCTTTCCCCTCCCACTCACTCCTTACCTGGCATGCGCGCCATCCAACTTGCTTGCCTTGTGCCTTCGCCTAATTTGGAGTAAGTTCCTATTTCTCCTTTTTTTTTCCCCCGACCATCAGCTGTTCTGTTGTGCCGGGAGATTTAGATTATCTAGAAAGCAGGAAATCATTGGATTTCTTGCTCTCTAGCTAATCTAAAAGCAGAGCTGAGCCTTCCTAGCTTCTATTTTTCAGTGCAGACTCAGGCAGCAGATGGCAGATAGGTAGATCTCTGAGTGAATCTGTGATTCTGGGAGCAACTCAATCTGCCTGCATGCTTTGCCTGCTTTTGGGTAAAAGTTGCTCTCTTTTTTATAAAAACATTCAATATTTACATCAATATTTACAATATTTACATACAAGCCACGCCCAGCCAGACACATGACCCCTAAGCCACACCCAGAAATTAGGCCACACCCACAGAACTGGTTGCTAAGACATTTGAATCCCACCCCTGGTGGGGAGTGTGCGGAGGGGAGAGAGAAAGGCCGGCCTGGTACCTTCCAGCGTGAAGCGGAAGAGATCGTGGTAAAGGTCAATGGTCAGCGAGCCTCGGGTGTTCTTCCTGATCTGCCGGTACATGAAGGCCACGAAATCCTCAGCCACCGTGTTGAGGAAGGGCAGGAACTTCCGGGTGCCAGCAGGGCTGATGACTTCCTTGTTGAGGATGAGCCGGTCAGAGCGCCACTCTTCCCCATTCCTGCAAAATAAGGTCACACCCACCCACCCACACACACACCTGTGAGACCTGGCCTGGCCAGGGAGGGTGGGCTGCAGCTCCCAGCTTTCCTTAGGGAAAGACCTCCGCCCTCGCCCCCCTGTTCATTGCAGGGGCCTCCCTTGGCTCTGCCTAGCAGCCCCCGCACCCCATCCAGGCCCTTCCCCCTTTCCACCCAAGCCCCTCCTTCCGTGAACCATCCCTCCATCCGTGTCACCATCACTTGAAGAAGTAGGAGAACAAACCCGCCGCGACTCGGTTCAGCACTTCCACCTGCCCACAGAAGACCCGGGCCTCTCTTTGGAAGACAGCCAAGTCCCCATTTGGGACGGAGAGGACTGTGCGTGTTTTACTTGGAGGCTTCGAGGCTGCCAGGCTGCCGGTTTGAAAGAGGGGTCTAAGAGGCCATCTAGACTCTAGAGCGGGGGCCTCCAACCTTGGTCACTTTAAGACTCGTGGACGTCAAAGCAAAACCGGCTGAGGAATTCTGGGAGTTGAAGTCCACAAGCCTTTAAAGTGGCCACGGCTGGAGGAGGCCCCAGTTCCAGAGAGACCCCCACAAAGGAGGTTGAGCCCTTGGAGGCTTCCTCTCAAACCTGCCCAGATGTTCCACAAGACATCTGTGGCTCATTTGGGGCCGTTTCTTGGAAACAGCTGGAGCAGGGCTGCCCGGGTCTTCCAAGCAGGGGTGGCACCTTCCTTTCCTGAGCAAAAGCCTTCCTGACCTGCTGCCCTGTGCCAACTGCCAGGGGTTCTGGCCGGCCCAGCTGCTGCCCCGGGTGGCCGGAGAGGGTCGGAGAGGCCTCCGTTTGGGAGAAGGGGGTGCATTGCAGCGATATCCTCCGAGGGCCCCGACTTACAATAGGAAGACGCCGCACTTGTGGTTCCTCAAGGCACGGTGGGCGAGCCAGGAATCGATGCCCATCCGGCGTGGGAAAATCCCCTCCGTCTGGAAGAGCTGGGCGGCGTCTTGTGGCAGGAACACGTTGACGCTGTCGTGGCTGCCCACCGTCTCCCTGCCAAAGCAACACAATCAGGTCACTGGGAGACGTGGGCGCCTGGCTCTGCACTTCTGGGGTCGGAGCAAAGAACCTGAAAGGAGGGGAGAAGGGAGAGGGGGTTGGGGGAAAGAGGGAGAGGGAGAAGGAAGGGGACAGGAAGGAAGGAAGGAAGGAAGGAAGGAAGGAAGGAAGGAAGGAAGG